GATGTGGAAGTTACCCATGGCACAGGAACTAATACATCCGTATATCCTGACATCCCCTGGCTTCTGGACTGCGCTTGTAACAATCTGGGTCACACTTTATTTTGAGAAGTCCTTTGTAGATGATTAATAAAACCCTTAACAGAGTATCAGTAACACATCAACAACATACCTGTGAAGTAGCAGTAGCGTATATATGTCTTGAAGATGCAACAATGATTCAGTACTTACATTAACTAATATCTATAACAGCTTGTTGAGGATATTGAGATTGTTTATATTAGACATGTTACATGTTCAATGAGGTCTCCAGTTAACATCTACAAATATGAATTTGGACACTCCAAGTAAAGTGAAAAACAACTGAATTCGGCAGATTATAATTATTTACACAGTTAATTAAAAATCTCTTCATAATCTACTGAATGTATTGACTGCTGCTACGTCATTGGTATGTTGATATGTTTAGTGCTTACTTGGTTCTTTAGCTTCATATACCAAACCTGAAGTACGAAACCTGGATGTGATCTTAGACTCTGAGCTCTGTTTTATCCCGCATGTAAACACAGTCACTAAAGTAGCTTTTTATCATTCTAGAACAATTGCTAAAGTTTGGCTTTTTCTCTCTCAGAGGGACAAAGAGAAACTTGTTCACGCATTTGGTACAAGCAGACGTGATCACTGTAATGCTCTCCTTACTGGACTTCCTAAAAAACTATATATCCCTTACAACTCGTACAATATACAGCAGCGTGCATCGTAACAAAAACAAAAAGAGAGATCACATCACTCCCATTATGAAAGAACTGCACTGGCTTCCTGTATCATTCAGGATAGATTTTAAAGTTCTGCTACTAGTCTTTAAAGCTCAAAACGACCTAGTATCTGCTTACATCACAGAGTGTCTGTCTTTTTATATCCCGGCATGTAATCTAAGATCTGCAGATAGTGGTGTTCTACAAATACTCTCTGTAAATTACAGACAACAAAGAGACACTTTCAGTTATTCTGCTTCTAAACTGTGGAACTCAATTCTACCTTTTATTAGACAGTCGAGCTCAGTGCTTACTTTTAAGAAGCATCTAAAAACACATCTCTTTAACTTAGCATTTAATTAAAACTGTATGTCTCGGTATTTATTTTCTAATTTGATCTTTTTCCATTTTCTTCTGATTCTAAATAAATAATAATGATTTCTTGTGTAATGTATGACGGTGTTACTCTTGGAGGGAGGCAAGCCAATGAAGAAGTTCCAGGGAGATGTGAGACCATGGTGCACAGGGATAGGCAGCATGTGGAGGAGGGCATGGGGCCAGGACCTTGTTGTGTGAGTGCATGTGTTGCAAGATGCAATAAAGGCACGGAGGTCTGTCTCCCTGTCTGCCTGCGCAGAAAGTCCAGAGTCCTAGTTACCCTTGGATGCCCCAAAAATGGGGAGGCATGCCCCCATAAATCACTGCTGCACTGCCGTGGGCACATACACCTTTCCAGGACGGCTGCCTTTGGGATCCAGTGCCAGGAAATGTTAGACCAGACAGAGGGAGGTAGAGTGGGCCAATTCCACCAAAGCTTTGATTTTGGCTGGTTTCATGTGTGAGAACACATGGAACACCAACTTTTCCAGCTTAACATAGACTTAACATACAAGCAGGGATCTGCCTGAGATGCCTGATATGTTCCTTGAGGGACCAGCTATAAATGAGTATGTTGTTGAATTAGACATATGCATACTGAACCACAGTCTCCCTCACTGTTCACAAGCCTGAAGGGCACTAATACCCAGTAGGAATGATGAAAGTTGCCTTCCATTCATTCATTGTAGGCACTGCACAAGATCAGCTTGGTGAATAGGGTGGCTTGCTGTAGTGCCTCAAGCACTGTCAACATGAGAGGCAGGGAGTAAGGATCTTTGACAATGATGTCATTAAGACCCCAGTGATCAATGCAGGGAAGTCAGAAGTGTGGGATAAGGGCCATGGTCCATGCTAGGCTAAAAGCTTACCCTAGCTGACCAGCTCTACCATCCCTCTTACTCTCCAGTGTCTGCTCATTGGACAATAAACTGGACTACATCAGACTCCAGCAGAATACCCAGCAAGAGTTCAGCGACTGTCTTTGTTTTGTGCCGACAGTAGCGCAGCTCTGGTGGGAAAAACACACAGAGGAGGCAACACGGAATGCGGTAATAACTCTGTGCTTGTTGCAAAGTACTGCTCTCCACTGGTGGAGTTTGTGATTGTCAGATGCAGACAATTTTATTTGCCACATAAATTCTTTTCTGCGTTTCTAACAGTGGTCTATATTCCTCCCAGCATGAATGCCAGGGAGGCAGTCTGTGAACTGTATGGAGCCATCAGCGGACCGCAGAACATGCATCCAGACGGGCTGTTTATTTTCACTGGATATTTTAATCATGCAGATCTCAGGTCAGTGCTCCCAAAATTCTACCAACATGTGGACTTCAAGAAAGGGGCGTCAAGAAACGTGGTGTCAAGAAAGGGGCGAATGTGCTGGACCTTGGTTACACAAACATTTTCAACACATACTGGGCAGAGCCCTCCCCCCACCTCGCTTACTCAGGTCATATTTTTGTAATGCTGATGCCCAAATACAGATTAATCATCAGACACTCCAAACCAGACCAGAAATTAGGTGAAAACCTGGCAAGCAGGTGCCATCTCTGCTTTTCAAGGTTGTTTTGAGGAGTCTGCATGGGGCGTGTTTAGGGAGGCTGCCACTGACAGTGATTCTGTTAACTTTGAGGAGTGTACAGCGTCAGGGATTGGCAATATTGATGATGTTACTGTTTCCAGGACCATCACTACATGCAAAACTCAGAAGCCGTGGATGACTGCTGAGGTGCAGACGCTGCTGAAGGCCCATGACTCAGCCTTTAGGGCAGGTGACAAAGCGGCCCTAAGGACACAAAGGGCCAAACTGTCACAAGGTATCAGAGAGGTGAAGCACGCGCACACTCAGAGAATCCATGGACACTTCCAAGATACTGATGACACGCATGTGGCAGGGCAATCAGGCCCTCAGCAACTACAGGAAAAAATCTCCCACCACACGCTGCATCCAAAAAGCTACTAGCATTGTAACTGACCCCACACACCCCTCACATGAACTGTTCTCTCATCTGCCATTTGGAAGAATGTACCGTATCTCCAGCTCACTTTGAGCTTATTCTTACATTCTGTAGTTTTCTCCATTTCTTTTTTAAGTATTTATACTTTTTGATTGTTAACTCAGGACACGGTTGTCACTTTGGACAGCTTTCAAGTCATAGGGGCGGACAGGACATCAGAGAGTGGTAAGAGAAAAGGAGGGGTGCTGGCAGTATTTGTGAACAATAGATGGTGTAACTCTGGGCACATCACTATTAAGGAGCAAATCTGCTGTAAGGACATTGAACTGTTCGTCGTTAGCATGATGTCATTCTACCTACCAAGGGAATTCCCGCATGTCATCGCAATAGCTGCATATGTTCCCCCCTCTTCTAATGCTGATGCTACAGTACAGAGAATTGACCCTGGACTTTGTGGACTGGTGTCTAAGGAACCACCTCCTTATCAATGCTGGGAAAACCAAAGAGATGGTGGTGGATTTTCACAGACACAGTCACCTCCTCCACCAGTGAACATCGAGGGAATGGACATTGAGAAAGTGGGCTCTTATAAGTACTTGGGTTTTCACCTTATCAATAAACTGGACTGGTCAGAAAATACTAGTACACTTTATAGGAAAGGCCAGAGCAGACTCTACTGCTCAGAAGACTGAGGTCATTTGGAGTGGAGGGGGCACTCCTGAGGACCTTCTTTGACACTGTTGTGGCATCAGCCATCTTTAATGGAGTGGTCTGCTGGGGTAGCAGCATCTCAACTTCGGACAGGAAGAGACTTGACAGACTAATTAAGAGGGCCAGCTCTGTCCTAGGAAGCTCCCTAGACCCAGTGCAGGCGGTGGGAGACAGGAGGATGTAAGCCAGACTCCAGCTCCCACCCCATCACTGAGACTGACAGCACTGGGAAGCTTCACCTCAAGTGTGTGAAGGAGGCTATCACAGGTCCTTCCTTCCTGCTGCTGTTAGACTGTACAACCAGCAGTGCTCCCAGTAGAACCCTCCTCCACCTCCCATTAGACCTCACACACCTACAATACAGAAACTGTGGAATTCATCACCATTTACTGTGTGCAAAATAATCAACACTCCATGTGGAATAAAATATCTCTATAGTATAAAGAATTTTTGTTTTTCTATTTTTTGTGCAATACGAATGCAATGTGAAATTCGGGTAAAATATCTTTAAAGTGTAAAGATTTTGGCTTTTATTTATTTCTCATTCTTTATATTGTTAATTTTTGTGAAGGAAAAAGTATATATTTATCTTTTTTACTTTTAGTGTCATTTATATTGTCTGTATAATTACCAGTAACAAACTGTAAAAACCTTGTTAAGTAATTAACAAGGTTAATTACTTGCTTGTTAATTCTTTTCTTGTTACTTCTTTTCCTGAGTGCCTTGCTATCCCTTTGCTGCTGTAGCACTGAGAATTTCCCCATTGTGGGACTAATCAAGGATTCTCTTCTCGTCTCTTATCTTAGCCTGTGGGCTTCTGGGAACTGGAGTTCCTTGAGCTAATAGAACCTTGCTGTCATCACCCTCTGCTCGCAGCCAGTGGCATGGGCTGGACCATTGTCTTTGTACTGTTCAATATTCAAATGCAGGCCAAAGTAGATGTATAAATCACTGTTTTCTGTTTTTGTTAGCATTTTATCTACTTTACCAACTTTTTTTGAAATTGAGTTTGTACTTACAGGCCTCCCCAGGTGGCTCAGAGGCCCTAAACAACTGCTTATATTATTTATAGCAAGAACAGTTTTTACTCTCAGGACATCAAAATCTTTTCGACATTCTCAGTAACCTAACTGTGCATCATCTCTTCTGAATATCACTGAATATCAAACCTTATGATTTAAGATCAAATTGACAGAACAATCACCTGAGTTTTTGCAGTTTACAGTGTAAACTCTTCAGTCCATCAGACAGCAGCTTCACTCCTGAATCCTGTATGTCATTGTTACTGAGCTCCAGCTCTTTCAGGGAGGAGTTTGCTGATTGTAGGGCAGATCCCAGATTTTCACAAGCTTTTTCTCCGAGATTACAGATCGCTAATCTGCAAAGAGATTACAATATCCTCACAATGGATTTTTGAATGGACTAATAGAAAAAATCCTTTGTCTTGTTTGAGACTAAATACTAGAAACATGTATTAGTATATTTAATATTACTGGGATTGGAGTGAGAGATACCATAGAACTCAAAAACCACAGGAAATAAATAATACAGTTAGTATCTCAAAGAGCAGTTTATTGTTTCATGTCATCTTAACTTTGTCAGTCAAGAATAAATTCACAGAAAACTGACCTGAGTGTCTCCAGTTTACAGTGTGAACTCTTTAGCCCATCAGAGAGTAGCTCCACTCCAGAATCTTGCAGATCATTGTTACTGAGGTCCAGCTCTTTCAGGGTGGAATTTGCTGATTGTAGAGCTGATGCTAGTTTCCTACATGAAATTGTTGTGAGATGACAGCCAGCTAGTCTGTGAAGGCAAGGTCAATACAATACATGGTACAGCTTACTCAGGGAAACCTGAATGTGATGATTACTCATCAATTTATCTTTGCATCTAAAACAGGTATACAGAATATTCAGCCTGATACCTCATCCTCATGATCCTGTTTAAAACAGTAAACCTGGGCATTGTTTTTTTCTCTAACTATATGCTACCTTTATATAGACATACACTATATTGCCAAAAGTATTCGCTCGTCTACCTTCACATGCATATGAACTTAAGTGACATCCCATTCTTAATCCATAGTGTTTAATATAATGTCGGCCCACCCTTTGCAGCTATAATGGCTTAAATGGCTCATCCATGTCTTTATGGACCTTGCTTTGTGCACTGGTGCGCAGTCATGTTGGAACAGGAAGGGGCCATCCCCAAACTGTTCCCACAAAGTTGGGAGCATGAAATTGTCCAAAATCTCTTGGTCTGCTGAAGCATTAAAAGTTCCTTTCACTGGAACTAAGGGGCTGAGCCCAACTCCTGAAAAACAACCCCATACCATAGTCCCCCCTCCACCAAACTTTACACTTCGCACAATGTAGTCAGACAAATACCGTTCTCCTGGCCACTGCGAAACCCAGACTTGTCCCTTGGATTCCCAGACAGAGAAGCATGATTCGTCACTCCAGAGAACACCTCTCCACTGCTCTACAGTCCAGTGGCGGCACTTTACACCACTGCATTCGACGCTTTGCATCTCACTTGGTGATGAAAGGCTTGGATGCAGCTGCTCGGCCATGGAAACCCATTCCATGAAGCTCTCTACACTGTTCTTGAGCTAATCAGAAGGCCACATGAAGTTTAGAGGTCTGTAGCGATCGACCCTGCAGAAAGTTGGTGACCTCTGTGCACTTTGCACCTCAGCCTCCACTGACCCCACACTGTCATTTTATGTGGCTTACCACTTTGAGGCTGAGTTGCTATCGTTCTCAATCACTTCCATTTTGTTATAATACCACTGACAGTTGATTGTGGAATATTTAGTAGCAAGGAAATTTCACATACTGGACTTGCACACGTGGCATCCTATCACAGTACCATGCTGGAATTCACTGAGCTCCTGAGAGCGACCCATTCTGTCACAAATGTTTGTAGATGCAGTCTGCATGCCTAGGTGATTGGTTTTATACATCTATGGCCATGGAAGTCATCGCAACACCTGAATTCAATGATCTGGATGGGTGAGTGAATACTTTTGGCAATATAGTGTATATATATATATATATATATATATATATATATATATATATACATATATATATATATACATATATATATATATATGGAGATTCACTCAAAAGAGGCCCCAAATATTCTGTAATAACTCTCACTAGGACGAAGCAATCTGAAGGAAACAAAAAGCAATGTGCTCCTCAGTTCATGGAGCTTCGAACAAGCTGGGATGCCCCTGCATCAGAGCGGTAGGGTAAGCGCTGGACAGCCGTCGCAATGTTTAAGGGAAATCACCTCCAGCATTGCATGTAATGCAATCAATTAGACATAGGTCAAGGTATGTAGCGTATTTTTTAGGTCCAGATTGCTTTATCCGAACAGGAGTTACAACAGAATATTTGGGGCCTCTTTTGAGTAAATCTCCTTGTACATGTACATATAATATTTATTTATTTATTTATTTAAGACACAAAGATAAAGTTTAGAACAGAACTATATACTGAAAGAAAAATTTGTGAATTTGTGAAAGAAGTATATTATATTTTTCAGACAGCATATCATGCTGTTCCAGTGTACTGAAACAAGCATTAATGAATGGAGTAAGAAAAAAATGTTATCAGTGGCTTCTAGAATTAAATTACAAAAATATTACCTGAGTATCTCCAATGTACAATGCAAATTATTGAGACCAGCAGAGAGCAACTCCACTCCTGAATCCTGTAGGTTATTGTTGCTGACATTCAGCTGTTTCAGGGGGCAGTTGGCTGATTGTAAAGCAAAGCAGAGCACTTCACAGGAGTTCTTAGTGACATAACAGCCATCTAGTCTGCAAAGGAATAATAAACTCAGTACAGTTAAAACAGTTGATGTGAAATCAAATATCACAGAAATTGAGTTTTTACTTGTTTAATTTTTTATGCATATAAAACATTTTTTTTCCTAATTTAAACTGCTATACAGACAAATGTACAACTTTTCTTAAATAATGAAAAGTTTTGTGAGAATTTTGTCTACTTATGAGTTTGTCAACACTGTTGTTTAATTAACTTATTGCTAGTCTGTCTGAAAATACAATTGAAATTATTTGTCATATAGTGTTGAACAATGAAACTGTAAGACTGCACCTATTTCAAATGAGTTTGCTGCAATGTTTTGGTTTTTGGTTGTTAAAGCAATTTAAACCATGGTTGGTGTCTGAGTACTTAGTCAGAGCATCCCATCCTCATGCCCAATCAGAATATGCATATGCAGGCAATGAGGTCATACCAAAGGACAGTCAGCAAACAGTATCAGCTTCATAAAATGCTGATTGACATAAATGAATATATTATTGCAGTATTTCTTTCTTGATGATTGCAGTTAATGGAATGATACTGTGAAATGATGAAAGTTTATAAAATTGTTAAAGTGGTTTAATATCAAAGTATGCTCATGTGAGAAATCTGTTTATAGTAGAATGTAAATATTTAATATTGGCAGATCCAGTAAACCCAGTAATAGGTGTGTGATATGCTGGTGGGTTAAGTGAGAAATGTGAACGATGGAGGCAGGAGTAGAGATGCAGAGGCAGTATTTTATTCATACATACATACATACATCATCTAAACCGCTTATCCTTCTGGGTCGCGGTGGGGTGCTGGAGCCCATCCCAATTTAGCATGTCCAATTAGCTTAACTGCATGTTTTTGGACTGTGGGAGGAAACCCACGCAGACACGGGGAGAACATGCAAACTCCACACAGAAACGACCCTGGTCGCCCGGCCGGGAATCGAACCCAGGCCATTCTCGCTGTGAGGCAACAGCGCTACCCACCGCGCCACTGTGCTGCCCTTTATTAAAACAAAAATCATATATTTTGAGCTTCCTACTCTCAAAGCACAAAATAAAGCCTGTCAAGCTTTCAGTTTTCTCTCTGGCTTGTCTTTTCCTCTGTGGTTTTATGCTTCCTTTCTCTCAGGTCTCTCTCTACTGAGAAAAATAGAGACATATTAGTAGGTTGAGAAAGAAATACACACAGATAAGCACTGCAACTAACCAGTCTGCTGTCTCACTGGCCAGCTCCTCAGCCCACAGACAGCAACCCAGCCAAGCCCTTGCTGCCACAAGGTGCGAAAATCAATGACTTAGGATGGCCCTCCTTCTCACCCACCACCCAAGTGTGATGTTAGCCAGTGTGGGTGTCTGTTAGCCAATGTGTCCATAAGCATTCTCCTCTAAGTGCACTGGGCTGTTCAGTGACAATGTTTTAGCAGCAGTTGATGAAGTGGTGCTTCATGTAGCTTAGAGGAAGCATGTGCTATGATTCACCGTTCTACTGATGGTAGCATTGTGTGATTGTGGGAGACCTAGTTAGTAGTTGGAATTTGATATGGCTAAATTGGGGAGACAATTGAGGAAACAATGCCAAAATAAAAGAAACTGACAACAGAGTTAGAGACATGGAATATTGAGAGAATATACAGAGACTTTTTAGCAAAGCTTCTCTGCATCTTTTAGAGTCCCAGTGCTGTAGTCTATGGAAAGAAATGTATGTGAATGCACATCTGAATAAAGTGGTTCATGTCCTACCCTGGTTTATGAGCACACTTACTGGGTAAACATTGTACAGCCTACTTATTAGACTGCAGTGTACACAGATCAAAGTTCAGCAGCCATTTTTTATGAATTTTTGTTATATCCTCTGGCCTTACTCTGAGTTTTTACAGGAATTTACTGACCTGTTATCTAGTTTAATAACAATCTCGAATAAAGTAATAATTGTTGGAGAGTTTAATATCCACATAGACAAACCACAGGATCTGCTAAGTAAGGCATTTGTGTCTATTTTAGACTGTTTTGGCTTCACTCAAAATATTATGGGGCATACTCATTACTGTAACCACACTCTAGACTTAATATTGACCTTAGGTATAGACATTAAGCATTTGGCCATCCATCCTTAGACCACAGCAGTGTCAGATCACCACTTAATCTCATATGAAATCAGTTTTAGTCATAATATATGTCCATTACATTTACATTTACATCATTTAGCAGACGCTCTTATCCAGAGTGACTTACAAAAAGTGCTTTGTCTATCCAGAGAAAGTATCTTCGCTAGTAACCAATAGGTTAGTTACCATCCACACGCTATAGTGCTATGCGTACTATAACATCGTCTACACCTAAAAGCTTTATTGAAAACCTTCCAGATTTTCATCCTTAATTAGTTGTCCGTCTGAACATAATGAATTAGATATGCTGACTAAATGTTTGGAAGACACTTTTTGCTCTACTTTAGATAGTGTGGCTCCACTAAAAAGTAAAAGAATAAGGCAGAAAAGGCTCGCTCCATGGTACAATGATCAAACTCGAGCTATGAAACAGACTGTTAGGCGATTAGAGCGTAAATAGTTTTCCAATCTGCCTGGAAGGAGAGTCTTACAGACTATAGGAAAGCACTAAAGTCAGCACATTCAGCTTATCTCTCGTCAATGATGGAAAATAATAAGAATAATCCCAGACTACTATTCAGTACAATCTCTAAATTAACTAATAATCAAAGGAAAACATTATTAAAGGAAACATATCCCTACTGGTTTTACTTGATCTTAGTGCAGCTTTTGACACAATAGACAATTCCATTCTATTAGACAGGCTTGAAAAACTAGTAGGAGTGACAGGTAAAGCTCTTTCGTGGTTCAAATCTTACCTTAGTGATCGCTATGAGTTTGTTAATGTAAATAGTGAACCATCAGCTCCCACAAGAGTAAAGTATGGTGTTCCACAGGGCTCTGTCTTAGGATCTATATTTACCTTATATATGCTACCACTAGGTTCATCATTAGAAAACATGGCATCAGTTCATCATTAGAAAACATGGCATCAGTTTCCACTGCTACACTGATGATACACATTTATATATTTCAGCTAAACCAGAGGACAAAATTGAACTTAATAAGATAGAGGACTGTGTAAAAGACATTAAAGAATGGATATCAGGTCATTTCCTTTTACAAAACTCTGACAAAACAAAAGTTCTTCTTCTGGGTCCAAAAGCTGCTAGGGATAATCTGCCTACTTTTAATCTCAATAGTTTCTCAATTGCACCAGGCACATCTGTAAAAAGCCTTGGTGTCACGATTGATCGCGATCTGGCCTTCGGTGAGCATATTACCAATATTACCAGAATCGCTTTCCTCTACCTGCGTAACATCGCTAAATTAAGAAATGCACTGTCACTACAGGATGCAGAAACGTTAGTTTACGCCTTTAACATGTCCAGATTAGATTACTATAACACTCTGCTTTCTGGTTGTTCCAGCCAAAACCTTAACAAGCTTCAGTTAGTCCAGAACGCTGCAGCCAGAGTTCTCACCAAAACCAGGAAATTTGACCACATTAGCCCAATTTTATGTACCTTACATTGGTTGCCAGTCAAATTCCACATTGAGTACGAAATTCTTCTGCTGACGTATAAAGCTCTGAATGGTTACGTCAGGGGAAAGAGCCTTTTCATACAAAGCCCCACAGCTTTGGAATAGCCTACAGTCAGTGTTCAGGACTCAGACACAGCCTCCATCGTTAAGTCTAGGCTAAAAACTTACCTGTTTAGCCTTTGGTTAATTAGTTTTTCTGTTAGAAAAGGTGCAGATCTGGGGGTTCACGGACAGAGAGTCTCATGGTAATCTGGGAATGTTGGTGCTGTCGTCCCACTGCTCTTATGCATTTCACTCAAGTTTGTTGATGATGGAGCAGAGGGGCGCTGACTTTTCAGGGAGCCCTCATGTCCTTGTTACCTTCTGGCTCTCCCTCTTAGTTATGCTGCCATAGCCAGGCCTACCGCTGCACTCTGTCAACTCTCTGCTCTGTTCGGTCACCCATAACAGAACTAACTATCTGTCCCCCTTATCCCCCCCTCCCCGCTCCCCCTCTCTTTTATTGAGATGAGCAGCTGCTCGTCCCAAGAGGGTCTGATGTGAACACCACTCAATCCCATCCCAGGGGGGTCTGATGCGGCCGGCCCTCCGTCCTGTGTGGTCCTGTTGCTTCGTCTGCCAGGATTGGATGGCCTGCTCGTGTGCATCGTAGAGCCTTGTGCTGTGTGGATCCTTCCTTGCAGTGTGGTCTTCACTGTACAAAGGACTCTTAACTCCATACCCAACACTGTACAGAACTGTAAAATTGTATCCATTTATACTGTTTTGTGTCTGTGCTGTTATCCGGTGTCGACCAGAGGAGGATGGGTTCCCCTTTTGAGTCTGTTTCCTCTCGAGGTTTCTTCCTCCTGTTCAGGGAGTTTTCCTTGATACTGTCACCATGACTTGCTCACTGGGGGCGTGGACCCGGATTCTCTGTGAAGCTGCTTTGTGACAACAGCTGTTGTAAAAGATGCTATATAAATAAATTTGACTTGACTTATATAATAAGGAGATTAAATATACCATTCAGCGGAAACCTTCAAAGCAGGGATTTAGCTTTAAAGATAACCCCCAAAACTGCTGACTGCAGACACAAAGGTAGCACATTGAACTATGTCTAGCAAATTACAGTGTGACTTTTTTTTTCCAAGATGTGTGCAGAAATTCTACAATTGCTTTTCAACAGCAGCGATGAGGAGGCTGGAGTGTGTTGTGGCCTGCTAGATAGCAGTATATAAGCTCCCCGAACAAAAATTTGTCACCTAGCATGTTTAAGCATGTCAACGCTCAGACCGACAACCCAGTGCTATCTTCTTGCTATCGTCCTGCTAAGTTCCTAAATCAACCAAAAGCAGTAAGTTCCTGCAATATCATGGCTACTGCTGGTTTCTTTGCCTGCTCAGAGTGTGGCATGTTTAGTTTAAT